CGTTATTAAGCCATCACCGTCGTAATTTGTTTAAGGGATGCTGTTAATGAAGATGTTCTTGAACTGTACTACGGAAAATTTTGTCGAGCCACGTGCCATTATAAATCGTTTGGAGGATCTATGTTTCTGCCTCTTGTATCCAAAATCACATTTCCTCAGTCAATATCGAGCACATGGCATCACAGGCAACGGAGGTAAAGGGAGGAGCATTGATATTTGATTTTGATTTACTCGTTAAACTCGATGTAATATCTGCTTATAGCTCCTGCATGAAAAATCAGCGAGTCTATTTTCCATGCTATGCCTGAAATCACTCACCCTATATACTTAAAGATAAAGTGATTGATAAAGATATTGACGGAATCTTCATCTATCTGGATGCTTCCAGTGTTGACGGATCGCGACTTGAACAAAACAATAATAACAGGTTATATTTCAAATAGTATAATATCAGTTAGTCTTGAGCGAGTAATAAACACTGGGCAATTAGTACAGCAGAATACAGTTCTTAATTATTTAATGTACTATCTTTGCAGCTATCTGATAATTGGCGTTTGTCTGCACTTCATAGCATAATTTCTGAACCCCTCCATGGAGAGTGAACACAAGAAAAAGCATGGAGTCGCTGGACAGAAAGAAATACGACGGAATGTGTACTTTTCAGTCGTGAGCGCTGGCTATCATTTCAGAAACAATCACCTTATGATCTTCCTACTCTCGTCTGATGGATTTCTATACGCCTCCATCTAAGAAAAAACTGACTGTATACCTAGGGAAAAGAATTTGGCACCACCTTCAATGCTAATTGCCTATGAGTGCTGTGAGATGTTTTCGTCATACATCATCGGAGTAACCGAAATATGATGGTTGTATGATATTTTATCACTCTTGTTGTGTACCACTGACGTATGAAAATATTTCTGGATTTTCAGAAATTTTATAATGCACTCATTCTTTTCGCAACCTTCAGATTTTAGCGATGAACGTGTTTCACTGATCAGTGAACACATGATGTCCGCTGTCATCACCAAGATTGTGTTCACTCACTAACTCATCCTTCAACATAACGCCATCCATGAGGTGAAGCTGCAGAGCAATCGTGAAAGACTAATGGAACGAAACTTAGCACTTACAGTCGTCTTGATGTTTCGTGATTTATTACGGGACATGTTGCTGGTCGTCTTAAAATGCCTCCCGTTTAAGTGCATTTTTACACCGAGCCTACCAACTGTTGTGTGCTTCAGGCCAGCAGACCGACGTTGGAAGCAACAGTGGACATGATGACTTTGCAGCAATCGTTATCATCCGTAAGCACAGCTGTCATGAACACACCGAACTTTACGGAACGTGAGTTTAAAGCAGCCGGTTCAGAGCCACACTGAATTCGAACTTGATCTTCACTGAGGTCAGAACACACGGTCTTTGCCGGTTGTTTCGAATTTTCTATGCATAACCTCGAGCAAAGGATCGACTGCCAGGTGGACTATTACGAGTTGCTGGTACTTACAGTGAAAGGACCAAAAAAAAGTACACATGTAGGTCACGGGAATGGCTCCATGGCCGGCGGACCACGGCACAAGGGTAGGTACTTAGGGCAATTAGCTCGAAACCTAACCCCACATCATCGACGAGCCTGAAACCGCAGACCTTCAGGGCGCGTCCTCTGATCTGCACTCAACCGTGTAAATAACGACCCTTTGCGCACCGGTCACGTTCATGTCCACTCCTGTCCATGTGGAGCCAGCGCATTTGTGGCCGTGCCACGACGATCGAGTCCAGCATAGCTGGTACCACGTGACCGTAACGGTCACTGGGGCTGTTCACGAAAAGTACTGGCAAGATTGTCGTTGTGCAATAAGATATGACGACACAATGACGTCTGTCATCACACGTATTTACCGCACACGCACAACGAGCGGTTGCTCAACGTCAGGATTAGGGATGCTGTGCAACGAGTAAACAGAACCAGCCATTGGCAACGGATTATGTTTCTTTTGGCTAATTCTCTCGGTTGACCCGGCCGTTATTTGTCCATAGCATCCGCATTATGTTTGGTGCTGGTAGTTACAAAGGACGGGTGATCTGTGGCACCATTGCATACCATGCCAGAAGGTCAGAAATAAAAAATCGAACAGAACTTAGCGAAATACGCTACATGTAACAAATGACATGTAGACCACAGCGAATTAGCATAAAGTGGATAAATGAAACATGAAATTCATTGAACACGCACCAGTCACTTGTAGTCAAGAAAAAGCGAAACATTCTGAGTAATGTCAGATGGACTGGACTTGTTCAGTACTATCACGTACAGTAGTCCGTTTCAGATGAATTAACGCTCGAAAGCATTTCTGATTCAGATCAGTAAAATCTGTTAGCCTGAGCAACGGTAGTTGTTATCATTATCAGTGATATTGCTACAACTACAACCCAATACTATATATACTACTACTCGATACCATACTGTACAAGGATTGAAAATGATGCAAGAATAAGGTAAATGAAACGCATGAAACCATCACAGTATTATTCACTCTGTGGCCCAACGGTTGCATAGAATTTTTCCCATAATTTTCTATTGATTTTTCCTACAACTGGAGCCTTGACTATGAACGATATGAGAGACCAGCAATGTAGAACTGAGCCAAGTTCGTTGATAAAGAGTTTCTTGTCCTGTTCATGAACTTCATGTAGAGCGGGTGACGGGTGGGGCGGATGATCGGCATTAGTT